AACATACAGGAAAATCACACAATACCAGGAATCATGGCCTAGCCAAACTGATACACACATTTTTTGGGGGACATAATTCAAACCATGACATGGGTGTCTTTGGATTTTGGACGTAACATATCCTTCATTTGGATGTGCTATTCTGGCCTATTTAACAAATGACTCGAAAAGCTGCTAGTTTTGGATGGGGCCCAGAACAAGAGAAGGCTCTTCAACAGGCTTGGGCTGCTGTGCAAGCAGCTCTGCCACTTGGGCCACATGCTCTGGCTGATCCAATGGTGCTTGAAGTGTCAGTGGCAGATAGAAATACTGTTTGGAGTCTTTGGCAGGCCTCTACTGGGTGTATCACAGTGCAGCCCCTTAGGATTTTGGAGCAGAGCCCCGCCATCTTCTGCAGGTAACCACCTTCCTTTTGAGAAACAGCTTTTGGATTGTTACTGGGCCTTGGTGGAGACTGAACGCTTAACCATGGGCTACCAAGTCACTATGCAGCCTGAGCTGCCCATCAGGAACTGGGTGTTGTCTGACCCACAGAGCCATAAATCTGGATGTGAACAGCAGCACTCCATCATTAAATGAAAGTGGTATATACAAGATCAGGTCCCAGCAGGACCTGAATGCACAAGTAAGTTGTGTGAGGAAGTGGCCCAAATGACCGTGGTCTCCACTCCTGTCACATTACCTTCCATATCCCAGTCTGCACCTATGGCCTCATGGGGAGTTTCTTATGATCACTGGACTGAGCAAGAGCAAACTGGTGCCTGGTTTACAAATGGTTCTGTGTGATATGCAGGCACCACTGGAAAGTGGACCGCAGCAGCACTACAGTCCCCTTCTGGGACCTCATACCACCAAGAAAGAAGAGCTGGGAGGGGAGCTTGTCCTTTGGACCTTGGGTCTCTGCGTTGAGAAGCTCCTAGACCAGGGCAAGATTGATGACAAGAATCTTCTTCCAGAGCCGGGAGAGAAAAAAAGTCTTCCCCTGGTGCTCATGCCCTGCATTCAAACTTCTAGCCTCCTAAACTGTGAGAGAATAAATTTTTCTTTGCTAAAGCCATCAACTTGTTCTATTTCTGTTATAGCAGCACTAGATAACTAAGAAAGAATTTGGTCCCACTTTCTGCAGACCTCTCTGAAGGACAGTGGTGAAGGGAAATCCTCCCAGTGGGCAGAACTTCGAACAGTGCACTTGATTGTTCACTTTGCTTGGAAGGAGAAATGGCCAGATGTGCGATTGTATACTGATTCATGGGCTGTGGCCAATGGTTTGTCTGGACCATCAGAGACTTAGAAGGAACATGACTGTAAAATTGGAGACAAGGAGGTATGAGGAAGAGGCATGTGCCTAGATCTCTTTGAATGGGCCAAAGAAGTGAACACATTTGTGTCTCCTGTGAATGTTCACCAAAGGCTGACCTCAGTAGAGGAGGATTTTAACAATCAGGCGGATAGGATGACACATTCTGTGGAAACCAGTCATCCTCTTTTCCTAGCCACTCTCGTCATTGCCCAATGGGCTCATGTACAAAATGATCACAGTGGCAGGGATGTAGACTGTGCATGGGCTCAGAACCATGGACTTCCACTCACTAAGACACTTAGCTACAGCCACTGCTGAGTGCCCAATCTGCCAGCAGCAGAGACCAACACTGAGTCCCCGACATGGCACCATTCCTCGAGGTGATCAGCCAGCAACCTGGTGGCAAGTTGATTACATTGGGCCACTTCTATCATGGAAAGGGCAGCATTTTGTTCTTACTGGAATAGACACTTACTCTGAATATGGATTTGCCTTCCCTGCACGCAATGCTTATGCCAAAACTACCATCCATGGACTTACAGAATGCGTTATCCACCCCCATGGTATCCCAAACAGCATCACCTCGGACCAAGGGATTCACCTCACAGCAAATGAAGTGCAGCAATGGGCCCATCCTCATGGAATTCACTAGTCTTATCATGTCATCCTGAAGCAGCTGGCTTGATAAAACCATGGAATGCCCTTCTAAAGACACAATTACGGTGCCAGCTAGGTGGCAATACCTTGCAGGGTTGGGGCAATATTTTCCAGGTGGTTGTATATGCTCTCAACCAGCATTCAGTATATGGTGCTGCTTCTCCTGTAGCGAGGACTCATGGGTCCAGGAGTCAAGGGGTGGAAATAGGAGTGGTACCACTCACTATTACCCCTAGTGACCCGCTCATAAAATTTTTGCTTCCTGTGCCCACCATCCTATGCCCTGTAGGTCTAGAGGTCTTAGTTCCAAAGGGAGGAATGCTCCCACCTGGAGACTCATCACTGTTTCCATTGAACTGGAAGTTAACAACGCCACCTGGCCACTTTGGGCTCCTTATACTTCTCGATCAACAGGTAAAGAAGGGAATTACCATATTGGCTGGTGTGATTGATCCTGATTACTGAAAGGAAATCAGATTGATATTACATAATGGAGGTAAAGAAGAGTGTGTCTGGAATGCAGGAGATCCCTTAGGGCATCTCTTAGTACTGTCATGCCCTGTGATTAAAGTCAATGGAAAACTACAGCAACCCAATTCTGACATGATTACTAATGGCCCAGGTCCTTCAGGAATGAATAGAGTCACCCCACCAGGCAAAGAATCACGACCAGCTGAGGTGCTTGCTGAGGGCAACAGGAATACGGAATGGTTGGTTGAAGAAGGTAGTTCTAAATACCAGTTATGACCATGTGACCAGTTGCAGAAACGAGGACTGTAATTGTTATCAGTATTTCTTCCTTGTATGTGTGCATCAAATATTTTTGTTTTCTTCACTTATAAAATGTAAGATGTAAATAGGATTAGTGTGTTTTTGGTTGTACGCATGCTAGTTGTATCATGTTATGTGCAAGTATGACTTCATAATTGTCTTTATTCAGAGATTATGTATGGTTTAAGGAGATGTGTACAGGTGTCATGTTGACAAGGGGTGGACTATGATCATTAAGGTTGTGTGTCAACTTGGGTGGGCCATGATTCTCAGTGGTTTGGCACTTATGATGTAGTGTGGCAGTGGTATAATGCCATAATTACCTCTATGATGAGATATGATACAGTGTGATCACCTTCAAGATGGAATCTGCTGTGAATAGCCAATCAGTTGAAAGGGAGTTTCCTTGGGGTGTGGCCTGCATCCAATAGAGGTGGACTTTCTGGCAAGGCTTGTGGGCTTTTTTCTCACTGATCCTGCAGTTGGCTCCTGTTCATCTTACCTCTGGTTCTTGGGAGTTGAGCTAGCAACTTACCTGCCATCTTGCCTTCCAATCTTGGTATTTGTTAGTCTCTGCAGCCTGTGAGCCAGAAGAAGCATCCAGTCTGACCCACGGACTTGGGGCTTTCCAGTCTCTACAACCTTGTGAGCCATTTTCTTGATATAAAACTCTCTCTATACATATTTATACACTTTACTGGTTTTGCTTCTCTAGATAACCCAGCCTAAGACACCAGCATAGTAGACCATATGATTGTCTGATTCAAAATGGCCAATACCAGTCCATTTCAGTTCACTAATGCCTGGGATATTGATCTTTATGCATTCTATTTAATTTTGACGACTTCCAATTTTCCTAGATTCATAGTTTGTACATTCCATATTCCAATTAGTAGTGGATGTCTGCAGCTGTTTCTTCTCATTTTGAGTCATGCCACATCAGTAAATGAAGGTCCCGAGAGCTTTACTCCATCTGCATCATTAGGGTTGACTCTACTTTGAGGAGGCAGCTCTTTCCCAGTCGTATTTTGAGTGCCTTCTAATCTGAGAGGTTCATCTTCTGGCACTATATCAGATAATGTTTTGCTTCTATTCAAAAGGTTTTCCTGGCCATTTTTTTCAGAAGTAGACTTCCAGGTCCTTCTTCCTAGTTTGTCTTAGTCTGGAAGCTCAGCTGAAACCTGTCCACCATGGGTGACCTTGCCGGTATATCAATACTGGTGGCATAGCTTCTAGCATCACAGCAACATGCAACCACCACAGTATGACAAACACACTACCCCAGTCTAATCATGAGAAAACATTGACAAACTCAAGTTGAGGGACATTATACAAAATACCTGACTAGTACTCAAAACTGTCAAGGTCATCAAAAACAAGTCTGAACTGTCACAGCCTAGAAAGACTGTAAGGAGACATGACTTCTAAATGTAATGTAGTATCCTAGATCTGATCCTGGGACAGAAAAAGGACTTTAGGGAAAATCAGAAACACTAAATATGGTATGGATTTTAGTTAAAAAACAATGCATCAATATTGGTTCTTTAATTGTAACAAATGCACCATACTAATATAAAATGTTAACAATATGGGAAATGGTTGTAGCGTATAAGGGAACTCTCTATATTATCTTCACAATAATTCTGTAAATCTAAAAATGTTCTAAAATAACTTATTTTTAAAATGCGAGTTTTATTTCTCTATCCTATCTTTATAATAGGTGAATCATCCTGATCTCCATAAAGGTATTTGGCATGTGTTCATCATGATTGAAAGGAAATGTTCTTAATCCAGGCATGGTTATATGTTAGGATCAGCTCAGGAGAAATATGGCTGTGACTTACATGGCACAGACAGAGCAGTGGTGGCAGCGGTCTGGCTTGATTAGATGGCATCGGTCACAAAATCGTACAGCTGTAGGAAAAATAAGATGGTTAGCACTGATTCTAGCTCAATATGAGACCATATATCTTACTACCCTAGCTGGATGGCTTGTTATACACTGATTAAGGGTAGTCAACTAATTGTATTTAAAGTTATCAATCAAAAGGAAGATCACATAGGTAAATTGTGTTATGTATTTTTTCCCTGTTGGATTAATCTAGAAAGCACCTTTTGGGGGACATAGGTAGAATGGAAAAGCTTTCATATATGGATATATGATCATAAGATTTTTGTATTATGAAACAAACTATACTATCAATTGCTTGAGTGATCTTGGGCAAATTATTCAGCCTCTGTTTAACCCAACTTCCCTATCTGAAAACAAGTATTCATAATTTATCTCTTATCTTTAGAGGCTGGATTTTATCATGTGGATAAAACTCCAACAACATGGTAAAGGAAGTGGTTCTCAGAACAACAGTTTGGAAAATAGAAGAGACATTCTAGAGCAGTCAGTTCAAATGATGATTTTACAGATAAACACGTAGGCCATGTCAAGTGACTTGCCCAAGGTCACACAGCAAGTGAGTGACAGAGCTGGGACCATTAGAGTTTTTCTGACTCATTAGTTCAGGGTTCTCTTCAACCCGTAAGTCTGATACAAAAAATCATTTTTCAACAATACTATGCCAACAAATTAGATAACTTAGATGAAAGGAGCAAATTCCTAAAGCACATAAATTGACTCATGAAGAAATAGAAAATCTCAAAAGACCCAAAACAAGTGAAGAAATTGAATCAATAATCACACACCTTTTCCCCAAAAAAGTCCTGGACCAGCTGGCTTCACTGGTGAATTCTACTAAACATTTAAAGGAGAACTGACACAAATCCTTCTTTAACTCTTCATGAAATATAATATGGAATACTTCCCTAACTCATTCAAGAGGCAAGCATTACCCTGATAGCAAAGCCAGACAAAGAAACCACAAGAAAAGAAAACTACAGACCAATATCCCTTATGAATATAGATGCAAAAATTCTCAACAAAACACTAACAAATCGAGTCCAACACCATATTAAAAGGATTATATACCATGACCAAGTGGGATTTATTCCAGGAATGTAAGGGTGGTTCAACACTATAAGATAAATGATTGTAATATATCATATTAATAGAACGAGAAGGAAAAGAACTACATAATCATCTGGATCAACACAGAAAAGGCATTCGACAAAATCCAACACCCTTTCATGATAAAAATACTCAACAAACTAGTAATAGAAGAAAAATTCTTCAATCTGATAAAGGCATTTATGAAAAACCCACAGCTAACATCATACTCAATGGAGAAAAGACTAAGAGCTTTCCCCTTAGGATCAAGAACAAGACAAAAATGCCTGCTCTTACCACTGCAGTTCAATATTGTACTGAAAATTCTAGTCAGACAAGGAAGAAGTAAAACTATCCCTTTTTACAGATAACATTATTCTATATATGGAAAACTCCAAAGAATCCACAAGAAAGCTACTAGAGCTAATAAATTAATTCAGCAAAATCACAGGGCACAAGGTTAACGTGCAAAAATCAATTGTGTTTCTGTACACCAGAAATGAACAATCTGAAAAGGAAATTAAGAAAAACAGTTTCATTTACAATAGCATCTAAAAGAATAAAACACTTAGAAATAAATTTAACCAGGGAGGTGAAAGACTTGTACATTAAAAACTTTAGAACATAAGTGAAAGAAATTTAAAAAGATCTAAATAAATGGAAAGACATTCTGTGTTCATGGATTGGAAGACTTAATATTGTTAAGATGTCAATACTACCCAAAGTGATCTATACATTCAATGCAAAATCTCAAACCAAAACCACCCCCCTGAAGTCTTCTTTGAACCAACAATAGTTTAGCTTAATTAGTAAACTATGTCTGCCTTGAGCATGTGCTTTCTTAAAGAATTATCTACGTGGGATCAAATCGACAATTCAAAAGGTCAGATGATGTCTTCGTTATCTAGTGCTGCTATAACAGAAATACCACAAGTATGGCTTTAACAAAGAGAAACTTATTTCCTCACAGTAAAGTCGGCTAAAAGTCCAAATTCAGGGTGTCACCTCCAGGGGAAGGCTTTCTCTCTGTCGGCTCTGGAGGAAGGTCCTTCTCATCAATCTTTCCCTGGACTAAGAGCTTCTCCCTGCAGGAAACCTGCATCCAAAGGATGCGCTCTGCTCCTGGCACTGCTTTCTTGGTGGTATGAGGTCCCCCTGTCTCTCGGATCGCCTCTCTCTTTCATATCCCAAAAGAAACCGGCTCAAGACACAATCCAATCCGGTAGATTGAGTACAGCCTCATCAACACAACTGCCACCCATCCCCTCTCATTAACATCATAGAGGCAGGATTTACAACACATAGGAAAATCACATCAGATGACAAAATGGTGGACAATCACACAATACCAGGAATCATGGCCCAGCCAAATTGATACACACATTTTTTGGGGGACACGATTCAATCCATGACAGATGAGAAGCCTAGGGGCTGTAAGTTTATATTAATGGTGCTGGAATTATTTAGAAAATGATAGTGAGAATGGTTGCACAGCCTGAAAAAATGTTATCAATGTCACTGAATTGTATAGGCAGTCCTGTATTACGAATGAATTCCATTCCTAACTCTGTCTTTAAGTCGAATTTGTACGTAAATCAGAAGTTAGGTATAGTTCGTATCTAATGTCAGTTTGTCAAATGTTTGTCTTAGTATATAGTATATAATGTACTCTTCTATGCATGAAAAACATGAAAGAAACACTTCCAGATACACTAAAACATCTTTAACATAATAAAAATAATGTTTTGATGCATGTTGCAAAGTAGCGCCCGTTTTTGTTATTATGAACCATTGTATGTACCTTTTCCACAGTTGAAGAGATACTTACAGGGCAAACGTGACTCAAAATACTCAGAAAATTTTGTTCTGTAAAATCTTTGAGACCAATTAGATATTTTATTGTAGACTCTGAACTAAAAAATCTACGTTGTACCACCAGGCCGCATTTCTGTTGAGTTTTGAACCCTTCTCATCAGAGGCAGGGAAGGTTGGGTGTGTGGGTAGGATGATGCTGGGGCAAGACAGATCATTCCCCCATCACCTCCTCACTAGACCTGTCAACCCCACACAGCAACTATGAGGCCTCTGCCTCAAGATGCAAGGGAGAAAGTGCCGCTCAGGATGTGCTAAGAGCGAGCCTGGGGCTCAAGGGTTGTGAAGAGGACGCTTTGGGAAACTCAAGTCTGAAGTTCTCCACGGACCCCTGGAAACCATACGGACGTACAGAGGTCAGGAATCTAACACTGCCCCCCGACTTCCAGCCACCAAAAGGCAAAGAACCGCTGCAATAGTGAAATTCCATATGTGGTAGTGGAAACAGAAGCCTTGAGAGTTGCTGCCATGACTCTGGGCTGCACAGAGCGTCGGGCAGGATGGGATGGGCTGAGCTGGGTAAGGATGTGCTGCGGAGGTGCCCTGGCCATATGCTCAGCGCAGCACATTGACCGGTTGTACTGGGAGAACACGCACAGCGAGGCACCCACGTCCCGCCCTCTGGCTGCCACCATCTGCAAGCCTGCCATGTGGAGTGGAGCAGTGGTAGTTGGGGCACGCAGACAGTAGGGCCAGCCCTTTCCAAGCACCAAGGGAGAAGGGTGCAGGTGGTCTCTCTGCTCACTGCTGCCAGCCCACGGCTGGACACACCATGTCGCAAGGGTCTGCAAGCCGCCAGTGGCTGCCCAAATACCCGCTGCCGCACCTGCGCATGTGGGAGGGAGAAGCACGGCCCATCCCGTGAGCGGCGGCCGAACAGTCAGTTTTTTCCTGATAGGCTTTACAAGGGTTGATTCATAACTATGGGTTGTACTAAGTCAGACGTTCATAACCCGGGGGGCTGCCGGTACATGTACAAATTGTTGAAATGGTGTATCTTTTGCTGTGTATATTTTCACACACACACACACACACACAATTCGTCAGCCTTCTTTGCAGAAATGGAAAATCCAATCCTCAAATTTATATGGAATTGCAAGGACCCAAAATGGCCAAAAGCAATCTTAAAAAAGAACAAAATAGGAGGACTCACATCTCCCGGTTTCAAAATGTACTATAAAACTACAGTAATCAAAACAGTCTGTCATTTGCTATAATGACAGACGCATAGATCAATGGAATACAATTAAGAATCCAGAAATAAACCCACAGATCTATGGTCAATTGATTTTTGACAAAAGTGATAAATCCATTCAGTATAGAAAGTATAGTCTCTTCAACAAGTAGTGTTGGGACAACTGGATCTCCATATGCAAAAGAATGAAGTTGGACCTATACCTCACACCATACACAAAAATTACCTCAAAATAGATCTATGACCTAAATGTAAGAATTAAAACCATAAAACTTTTAGAACAAAACGGTAATGCTTTGGGACCTAGTTTTTGCCAACGGATTCATAGAACACAAAAAGCATGAGCAACAAAAGACAAAATAGATAAATTGGACTTTATCAAAATTAAAAAATTTTGTGCATCAAAGGACTTCATTAACAAAGTGAAGAGAAAACCTACAGAGGGGTAGAAAACATTTGGGAACCATATATCTGATAAGTTTTATATCCAGAATATATATAGAATTCCTACAACTCAATAACAAAAAAGACAAACCCAATCAAAAAATGGGCAAAGGACTTGAACAGATATTTCACCAAAGAAGATATACAAACGGCCATTAAGCACATGAAAAGATGCTTTATGTCATTAGTCATTAGGAAAATGCAAACCAAAATCACAATGAGATACCACTTCACCCCTACTAGGATGGCTATTATCAGAAAAAAGGAACATAACAAGTGTTGACGAGGATATGGAGAAATTGGAACCCTCATCCATTGATGGTGGGAGTGTACAATGGTACAGTCACTGGGAAAAAGTTTGGTGGTTCTTTAAAAAGTTAAACATAGAATTACAATATGAATCCA